GTCGATAAAAAGAGTCCACTAATATATTACCTTTCAATACTTTGCAGGCACCTTTTATCTTACTCCTTCTTGGATGGGTTTTTGTGCCAATTTACCTCAAATCCAGGGTAAGTTTGCTGTCGAATGTTTCTGTAGGACATTGTACAGTGGCAATGACAGATTATTGTACTGCGCGTATAAAAGATTCTACAGATTTCCTTCACTGAAGAGAGTTTGCTAACCATTTTGGAGAGGCTGGTCATTGTTGAAAGGTTAAAATAAGAGTAAATCTCCCACCTGGAACGAAAATATGTGGCCACTATAGAGACGTCAGCCGTTGTGGGAAGGTGGCCATTCAATAGAGATTCGACTGTAGTAATCTTATGAGTTCGTCTGCTAACAGTGCCAGTTACATGATTAGATTTTGTATTTTTCAGTATCATTATCATAACTAAATAAATAATTGACTATTTTGATTCCTTTAGGTGTACACGACGCCTGAATACTTGCTGAAAAGATTCCACAGCACAAAGATTCGAACATGTTTGACAGCAGTGGCTCTTATCTCGTATGTCCTCACCAAAATTTCTGTAAGTGATATCCACCTAAATTCGAATGCAGTATCTAAACAACTTGTATGAACCCGAACACAAAATGAAGTTGACGACTCCATTTCGTCTTGAGCTCTTGCGTGTAATACACGCCAGTCACAACAACTTTGTCGGGGGAATCGAATATAAGGCAAAGTAGACATGTAAGCCAAGGCTTTCCTTGGAAACGCAAAGTAACGACAGCAGGAATATATATCACCTGGATAATCGATTATTATCAGTTCTTTCATTTTATGACGTCGAAAGGTAGATAAATGTTCTTCATTTCTCTATTACAGGTCGATATCTATGCCGGCAGTGTGTTTCTGTATGAAGCTGTTGGTTGGAATGTTTATCTCTCTGCTGCTTGTATTTTGGCCATCACAGCTGTCTACACTGTCTTGGGTAATTATAACTCTACAGGGATACAGCTTGTAGTTAACAGAAGCCTCTGTCACGTCGGCACCCTTAATGGGCCCTTTGCAGCCGATGATCACATGGAATGCACTCATGTCGCATGGAGAGCACGCTGCGAAACGGGACATTCAAAGCAAAGCGACCTCGACCATTCAAACTTTACTTTTGTTTCCTTCGAATGTCCCAGTCCGTGGCTTTCTCTCCATTTTGGGGGATTTTGTACCATGTGACCGTTACCTACAAAGGGCCCACTCCGACTTGAATTCCCAATATGAGGAAGAGCTCGGCGACGCGACATGAACATTCCATAATATAGCTCTGCGGAGATCGGCGTAGTCTCTGATTGGTTTTTACTTTCGCGCGAAAATTCAAAACCGACTATCAGTGCAGCCAATCAGAGCACCGCAGATGTCTCTTTAGAGCTTAGTTAGCAGAATGGCATTTTTCGGGTCGAAGATCAGACGTTTTTCCGAGAGTTAGGGATAAATAATCGAGGGCTTAAAAAGACGTGTATGTTTACTCTGGCTAAAAGACACAAAATAAATTAAAAGCAAAAATTCCTACTACAGTTCGAATGCCTCTGTTATGGTTGATGATACTGTGAATAATAGTACTTTAGTTTAGAGACCCAAGTCCACTGAACTTTGTACTTCACCAAGAGGAGATCAAGTTAAGTGTTCAAGGTACTTACCTTAATTTTCTCTTGACTTCACCAAGCATTAGTATAAGACGGTCAGATAAGCCTCGTGCTGATCAAAATTCTTTCCTTTTTCCCTTGCAGGTGGTTTAACGGCTGTATTCTTCACCGACGTGCTGCAGTGTACCATAATGATCATTGGTGCCATTGTTGTCGCTATAATGAGTGAGTAGGTAGTTCAATAACGTCGAAATAACAAAAAAGGGCCTTTTCAGTATAGTCTGCGTTCTCTAAGTGGCAGACGTCATGCCTCAGGCATGGGCACTTTGAGAAGTGAACATTCTCTTCCCATATCCATCCATAAAGGATTTCACATTTGGGCATTCCTGAAGAAACTTGATTCCGGCATGTGGGTCAAATTGTCTCATTTGTTTGTACTTTTATGAGCTTGACAACTCACATCATTTTATAGAAGGCATTCTATCTGTACGTTTAAATCTCTGAGAAGCGACAGAGGCTTTGCTTTTTCCATAGTTAATAGAGGGGACTGGTTATGAAACCCCGCAAACATCAAAGGAGCAAACAAAGATGCCAAGATTTATGTTGGAAGGTCCACGACCGTGCACAAACTGTTGTTTTGCGTTCATATACTATGCATGAATTACGTAACCAACACGTTTCTATTGGTCAGTTCCTCAGGACGGAGTAACCAAATATTGTGTTTTATACTTTTTCCAGAACGGTAGTTAACAAACAATGAAATCTAAAAAAATGGGACGGACAAGAACCCAAAACTTTCAGTTTTTAGTTAGCATTCCAGTTGCGGTCCTTAAATAAACTTTCTATTCACCAAGGCTTTTCGAAAGTTGGTGGAATGGATGGTCTGTGGGAGAAATATGGTTCTGCTATCGGTCAATCCATTACAACCACTACTGTTGCACCAACAACGGTAGCCAGCAATTTCACGACAGTAGCTGCTGCTTTAAGCACCGTGACATCCACAGCTTCGAATCACAGCAGCAACCAAACTGCTGATAGCTGCTTCAAGTTAACTCCTTATTGGGGTAACCTGGTGCGACCACTGGACGACCCAGACTACCCCTGGTTGGGATTGTGGACGTCTCTGTTCATTACATCTGTGTGGTACTTTTGCACTGACCAGGTAAAATGTGAAAAAAAATCTAATTTTATTTGCTGAGTATACTGAGTACTGAATTGCGATGCTCGCACCCTATGAGTTTGAATCAGTATGGAAATGGAAGTAAATGTTTTGGGCTCGCGGTGCAGCGTACAGAACGGAAACCCTAAAAGTTCATATGCTTCTGTTTATAAAGGGGGTTCGAGTTTATTGTCAGTCAGTGATTGAATAAGGTGTATCGTTGTCACAGTAGTAGTATTTTAAACGGAAATCTCAAGGTTGTTTATCGTGTATTTCTGATCTACTTCATTGCCATGAATTGTTAATAGTTGCAACTTTTTTGAATAGTAAACTGGCTTGCCTTAGGCGGAAATATAAATTGTCGCTGTTATCAAAAGGAGCTATATTTCAAGAGAGCTATGTCACTATCAAGACATTTCATCGATGCACAAAATTACCATCAAATTGAGGGCAACTTTCTGCAAGAGGTGAACAAGCGTAGAAAAACTGCACAGATCACTGTAAGACAAACGTGGACAAGGATGACTCGTTAACATTAGGAAGATTAAGACGAACAGTTGAACGTACTTCGGTTATCCCGAATACCTCTATATCTCGACCCCAAATTGGATTTTCTCTTGGATATGTTTCTTGAGCCACTCTATTATTAATTGTCTCGAACCTCAGCCATCTCGAACTATTTTTCGTTTCTCTTGAAAATTCAACATACGGGGTTTCGACTGAAATTGAAAATTTGGGCTTTTTTAAAGCTTATGTGTCAGTAGCTAACAAGTTTCATATGAAAGGTTATTTTTCTAGAAGTGAAATAAGTCAACTAAATACAATTTACGATAAGTTACACCGATGTCTAATGCTAATGCCTCATTTAATACGGCTTCGCCAAAACTCACAGCACGCGTTAAATCTTTATTATACATTTGGCCGCAGACTGGTGTTGAACATCCTGCCTACTGGCATGGTTGGCTTGATGATGGCAGTTATGATGGCTGCGGTCATGTCATCTCTGTCTTCAGCATTTAACAGCAGTGCCACCATATTCACTGTTGATGTATGGCTTCGACTAAGACCTCAGGTAAATATATACCAGCTTTACTGACTGGTGAACCCCTTGAAAAAGGTTTATATACCAGTTTTGTCTGACTGGTGAACATCAACCCAGGTAATAACAGATTAGTTTTGTTTCACGGATACTGGCCTCGATTCGGGAGAAGGTATTATTGTTGTTGGAATGAGAGATATCAAATAAAGTAAATAATCAGTTTTCCCTTTAATCAAGATCATTAAATCCACGGATATCAACAAGACCACCTTGGCCAAATTTGAATCCTGGAGTAACTTTAATCAGCTCGAGGCTGCGTTCCCACTTGGTGTCCGTACATTGGTGTCTGAACACCGGCACAAAAAAAGTGTTGCGTTCAGATGCTGGTACTCCAAGTACCCAAGTAACATTTAGTGCCCAGCACAAGGTGAAGACCTTTTATTCAGACACGGACACTGTGCCCGAATTCTTGTGTGAGTACTTGGAAAAAAGGTGTGTTCACATTATTGCCAGCGAGAATCGTACGCGGGCAGCGGGCTCGGGGCACCAAGTGTGAACATAGCCTCAGTATCGAATCTCCAGTCGACCAGATTTGTTTTTTTCTCATTTTCTGCATTCTGTTCTCTCCAAAACAGGCCCGGGATAGAGAACGAATTATAGTTGGTCGAGTAGTCGTGGCTATTCTTGTTGGTATCAGTTTGTTGTGGCTACCTGTCGTTAAAGGTGAATCCTCATCGTTAAACCATGTCGTTAAACCATCTCGCCAACTTGTTTGGGATTAATTTCAACATCATTCATTTATGAAACAGTTTCAAGTCTTAACTATCCTGAAATTCCAAACATTTAAATTAAGGTGGATCCCAATCTCTAATCCTAACGAAATGTTGTATCTTGACTAAACTGGCTGATCTTTATTCAATGATAAAAATGTAAGTCGAGCCCATTTTGGAGTATAAGCTACTAATTAAAGGTATTTTTGACAGGTTAAACTGTTGGTATGGTAACCTGGTGTGTCAAAAATATGACTATAGCTTCCCTTTCATTTACAAGGCATACGTTTGATAGTATTTTTTAAGCATCAACTGTTGCAGCCGTGGTAATTTTGATCTATTGAAACTCAAGTGCTGTAAACCACTATCAATCACCGTAACTTGAGATCGTAAATGTGACCTGCTTAAAACCTGTTTTGCAGGTTTTGCTGGAAGCCAGCTGTTTGTGTATCTCCAGAATATCCAGTCGTACCTGGCACCGTCGATCTCGTCGATGTTCCTCTTGGGAATCTTGTGGACTGGACTCACGGAATATGGAGCGGTAGCTGGACTCTTGGTCGGGTTTAGTATGGGAATTGTCAAGTTCATTGTGGAGAATGTGTACACACGGCCACATTGCGGCGAGGAGGACACACGACCAGGGTTTGCCAAGCTTCGTTTTATGTATTATTGTAAGTAATCTTCGAAAATCCTTAAAACTGAATTGAAAAATCTTAAAGCTAACCCGTGCAGAAAATTTGCTGTTAAGAAATCATCAGCCTTAGTCGGTTTTCATGCGGGTTCTCAATCCTGGTCGAACTGGAATTTGGAGCGGATGTTGGTTTTGTGGAGGGAGGAAAA